TCTTTGTAGTGGTCAGAGCCCATGTGTCTCAACGGTTTAGTGTGTAGTTAGGTGGGTGGTTAGTATTATAAATGGATGACAGGCTTCCCTGACTGGTGTGCGTCCACTATGGGGGTGGCCTGGGAATGAACTGTGGACAGGCTGCCCTCAGGGAAGACTCCACTAGATGGAATCCCTGTTGGAGGGGAGTTCACAGCAAGTCAGCATGGGGTTAAAGCTGTCTCCTAAATGAGGCTTCGAGGAACTGGAGAGGCCTGGAAACGGGAGGGTAACCATAACCACTACAGAGTGAAACCATGAGTATCTTCTCTGCTAACCCAAGAGCGCAGGGGGAAAAGCACAGGAGTATATAGTTTAAAGGACTGGAGAAATGAAATAATGGCTGACTTGTGAATAATGATGAAAATATTTGATGATGTGACTCCCAGGGAAGCAATTATGGTTAACCCCTCATTTGTTTGGCATTTTCAAAGATTGAACTGTCCCACATAACTGAATTTTCCAGACAACTAAAACTTTCCTATTTATGTGCCTTGAATGTTTTTGAACCATGCTTGGTGGAAATATTTCTGAAATAGATTATACAATTATCCTGCCTTCTTGAACAGAAGCTGCAAGAAATAACATTTTCTTAGTTGCCTTTGATTGCAAGTCTGAGAAGACCTGATTTGAAGAGGTTTAAATAGTTAGGACTTGTAATCGGCTCACGTAACAAGAACCCCAGAGCTTGGCAGTTCCCGGGATGATGAATTCGGCAGCTCAGTGCTGTCTGGCTGACTTTCCCCTCATGGTCACAAGATGGGTGCACAGCTCCAAGCCTCAGGATCTCACATGATAAGATCTCAGGCAAGAGTGGAATGGGGGCTCCCTCGTACATGTGTCTTTAATCAGAGAGGAAAATGTTTCTCAGAAGACCCCTAGCTGACTTCCCCTTGGGTCCCGCTGGCAGGACTGAATCACATCTCCCTTCTTTGGTTCCGCGGGAGGCTCAGAGAGTGGATAGCCAGCACTTGCGGCCTCTGGAGTGGGAGCGGGGCTCTGCCCATAAAAAAGGATGGAGAATGGCTGTTGGGTGGGCAACCACGAGTGTCTGCCATTGTTACCAGGATTGGGGATGAACATCACTTACTATTGGCCATAACATTACGGTTGATTGAGCTTTTTGTTCGTATGCTGAATGGCCCCAGAGTGGTGCTCTTTTTGATTTCCTAAGTCTGCTTTTAGTTTTTATTCTCTCTCCCTTCTTTGTGTCAGAGTGCTAGTTATCACTACTTGCTATTAATGTACCTTGTCCTCATCTTGCTGGAATTAGATTTCTGAAAAAATCGTAGAGTCAAACTTGTTAGAACCATGTCTGAAATGTCCGAGTATCTGACAGCTGTCCTGTGGATCAGGTACCCAGTGTCGCATTTCTTTGGGCTGTCAGGGCCATTTTTCCATCGTTGAGATTTTGGAGAAGTGAGGAGTTTCTAGGGTCTTGTGAACTTCAGTATGACTTTAGTGAAGTCTTCCCATGGTGAAAGGAGGAGCATTTGGGGGCAGTTAAACTTGTTTGCTGGAGAAGGGAAGATTGCATTTGTTCATCTGAACGGGCCCCAGCATGGTTTAGAGAGAGGCAGCATTCAGCTCCCTTGCAAAGCTACATGGCAGGTGGTTGCCTGGAGAGCATCACTAGCTCAGGGACCATGACTAGTGGGACTGTCACTGCAGCCACAGTCAGCACGAGGCAAGGTGGTGCAGAATTTAATTCTGCCTGCCCTCTGCCAGGGCATCAGAGCCCTGTGAATTGAGTCCTGGGAGCTGCCCTGGTTGTGCAGAATCAGAAGTGCTTGGGTGTGACTTGTCTCAAGTTCTGGAACAAAGTAATGCTTCAAAAATGGTTATTGAGATTATACTGCACAAGCAAGGACCATCCCTTCTGTGGATAGAGAGCTGACCAAAATTCAGTCTTTGTATACAGGAAGAAGGAAATAGAAAGCAGTTGTCAAAATAATACTGACAGTGAGTAACTGGACCAAATGGAATGATTCTACTCCGAGATTCAAACCTGAGCCAGTGGGTGGGTTGGGTTCTAAGGAAGCAAATGGTTAAAATGTTTCATTTTGATGAAGCTGAAACTGAGCTCAAGCTGCTTAGGACCAGGAAGTGCCTTCAGAACAAGTTAGTCCTTTGAAGGGCTAGAGTCGTCTAATGTCGTTATTTTAGCATGCATCAGAAAACTGTGAGCCTGTATAGGCAAAGGGTAAGTGACAGAAACATTGGGGATAAGGAAAACAGGTTTTGTTTTTCTTTAGTTCTGACCATTTAAATCATCATACAAGAAGAATGCAAAGTATTTGTCATAAATATTTTCATTATTAACTCCTTATGCACAGAGCATTTTTAAAGAAGCCATTCTTTTATTGACTGTTGACTGATACAGGATACAACTTAGTTAAATTGAGCCATATATTTATATTTTTCTAATTTTTTTCTCATATGTGGATTACTGATTTTAAAAATCTCTGAAGTACTCTGACCATCCCTACTCCCCTAATCAGCCACTGTGTTCATATTTTAATATTGGCTTCAACTACATCTTTGTTAGAAAGATCTCCATGGAGAAATAATCCTGTAATCAGTACTTTTGTGAGATCATGGTACATATTAGTGTATAGCTGGCTGACTTTTTTTTTTTAACCAAAGCAGTGCACTTGGGCATTGAACAATGTTTGGGCATTTAGTGGGGACAGAGTGGATGATTCAGAACTAGGTGGGAAAATCATTTTTCAGCAGACCAAAATACCAGCAACTCATTTTCAACAAAACAGAATAACAGGAACAAAAAATATAATACATTCCAAAGCCCAAAAAAACTGGTAGCATGAGAATCATGAAGTCGGTGGTAACGTCTGTGTTACTTTGATACTAATAGGTGATTGTGTTTGCATTAGATTTATAAATTATTGCCATTGAATTATATTATTTTAAAATGTTGCTTTTTTGAAGGGAAGCTTTCATGTTACATACTTTTCACCAGTGCTGTTGGTGATTATTTTCAGGGTTAATCTGAATCTTGTTTTATATTTGGAAATTTATACATAATGTAAACATAATTTAAGTACATGTAAATAGGCATTCTTTTTTCAAATTGGTCAGAAGAAATAAAATTAGTAATCAGAAAAGATATACATTTATTTTAGAAAGCAGCATTCATTCCAAATGATTGAAAATGTTACCAGTCATGCTTTGTAATATAGAGGGATTCAAAAGAGCCTTCTGAATCAAATTATTTATAATTTGAATGTCTGTTTTTTATATTTTGTATTGTTCCTGTATGTTACTAAATCTCTGCTTTGATACAAATAGACATTGAGACTGCACTGCGGTGGCAAGTGTGACTAAAGAGTGGACATTCAAAATCTTGCCCCTTTTCTTTGGCTGTGGTGTGATTCATACATAGAAACCCCCTGTAGCACTGAGTCAGATACGCTCACTCAGAGGACTAAAAGGCCCTACCAACTGGACAGTTTGTTCTTCTTTATTTTTTTATTTATTATTATTATTTGTTTTTTTAGTTTACTTCAAACCTACTCTTCCTTCAAGAAATCAATGTTGGGTGCTAAGAGGGCCTAGCCGAAGTCAAATGTTACCCTAAACTGCCGTGGTGATGGATGGCTGTGTCACTATCTAGTACACGTTTTGGTTTTTCTTTCGTGTATTTGCCTCATGTCGCCAAAAAGTTGAACCTTGTCTATCCTACGCAGTAGACACTTGAACTTGCTGAACTAAAATCATGACATCGTGAGTGAGTGTGGCGAGCAGGTTAGACCAGTATTCTTCAGAGCAGAAGGCAGCACGGCCCAGTAGAGGAGCTTAGGGTTTAAATCACGGGGCTACATTTGAGTCCTGCCCCTGCCTCGCTATGGCGTGAGCAAGTTAATAAACCTCTTGGAGTCTCAAGTTTGTTCATCTGTTAAATGCAGGTGGTAAAAATAAGGCCTGCTTCAGGGAATTACAAGTATCAACTTCAAGTGTGTAGAATTACTCTGTAAAGCTATAAGACTCTAGCCACGTTTTTCTTGTTATTTTTGGTAAATGAGTGTGCCTGTTCTTTGTCCTATAAGTGGATAACATTCACACAAATATACGTTATCTACCTTGAGGAATGTGCTACTAAAACAATCTGCGTTTTTAATGATGGTTTGCCTTGGCTAAAATAAGTGTTATTTTCTTTTTAAAAATGGAGTTAAAGAACCCCAGATGAACAGATAAAGCACGTAAGACTGGCTAACAGCAAAGATTCCAATCAGTCTGTCCTGTAACAGTAGACGTGAGGGGCCCAGACCCGTCCCTGCTGCTTTCTGTTACAGAGCTCCCAGTGGCTTAGGAGGTATATGGGGAACTACGGGAAAACCTGCAGCTGCGCAGTACCAAAATTCACTGCTCGATTGGGAGTAAAGTGACAACTTGATTTTTTTTCTGGTGGTTCAGTTGTCATGTCCTATAAAACAGATAATCACCTGCCCTCTTGATGATTCCCCTTTCCGAATCCGTTCTCGAAGGATAGCCTTTATCCCACTTCCTGCATCAAATTATAGGTGAGGGAGACTATCCAACCTTTGAAGAGTTCATACTATTTAGAGACTTAAAACGGGGATACACCTAACCCTGCTGTGGAATCCTGGACAAGGTAAGCGCCACAGGAGAAGCTCAGATGGCTGAGGGTGCCTAGCTCTGTAACCGTTGCATAGCGTTCCTTCAGCACCGACACATCATGCCTCATATTGGTTACATCTTCGTTTGTGTGTGATTTGCCTCCATCTCTATTGTAGCTCCGTGAAGGCAGACAAGGCACTTTGTATTTCTTGGTCCCTCTCTCCACACCTTTGACCTAAGTCTCAACCAGTATTTGTGGTTTAAATAGAGTCGTGTACCCAATATTCAGATGTAGCACCCAAAATGCTGTATTACAATGCATTTAAACCCTAACTTGCTTTTCCTTTCTTCTGTGTTTGCAGTTGACCTGCCCCTGTTTTTTCCTCGAGACCAGCCGACGCTCACATTTCAGTCTGTCTATCACTTCACCAACAGTGGACAGCTTTATTCCCAGGCCCAAAAAAATTATCCCTACAGCCCCAGATGGGATGGAAATGAAATGGCCAAAAGAGCAAAGTAAGTGAATCCGTTGTTATTTTCTACAGGTAAGAACATTTTGTTGATCCAGTTCAGGGGTTGGCAAGCTATTGCCCACAGGCTAAATCCTGCCCTGTGCCTGTTTTTGTAAATAAATATTTACTGAAACACAGCCACGCCCATTTCGTATTTTCTATGGCGGTTTTCATGCTCCAGTGGCAGAATCATTGCAACAGACAGCAGATGGCCTATAAGCCCAGAAAGATTTGCTGTTTGGCCCTTTACAGAAAAATCTTGCCAACCCCTTATCTAGCCTTGTCAGGTAGACTGCATTATTTGGTTTTTTAAATGAATCACAGGACTTATCAGAAATCTACCTCTATTTAGATTAGAGAAGAAGTATTATATAGCAATTAGAGTTCTGGATAAATGGTGTTGATGAGGAAAATGTTGACAGCTACTTTCATATTTTTTTAAAAATTGAACATTTCAGCTGGCAGTAAACAATTTGATTTTTTGCTTAGTAGTCAATACATGGATCCAGTACCTGGTTTTTCATATGGAGCTGTAATGTCTCTGAAGGAGCAGATGAATTCTGTATCTCATTGCATCTCTGCAGTCATTGCCTAAAGTAGGGCCCACGTTGTCCTTGATTAATTAAATGAACAGCTACACAAATAGCTTAGAACTCTTAAAGTCCCTACGGAAGTCAGTTGGGAATTTGATAGAGGTTGAAGTTAGCTAGAGTTTGAAGTTTAGAGTTACACAAGCCTCTCTGTGGAAAGCTTTCAGTCATATGGAATAGGTAAATGTAGAAATACACTGAGTGTTTTTTCTAGGTAAGACTTTAGTATACGGAACACCAGTCTTCATGAACCATGGCCTCCTAAATGGAAACCACGGTGGATCAAAATCATAGTTTCCAAAAATAAATCGTCATTAGTGTGGCAGGTGGTTATGACTTTATTACTCTGAACAGCCATGTGCTCACACCTGTGATCCCAGCTGAAGGATGACCAGATTCAAAGAATCACACAGATGAAGACTGTCTGTTAAACACCCTCTTCATTCACTCATCCAGGATTTATTGAGCATCTGCCATGTTCCAGGCAGGGTGCTTCATGCTGGGGATACAATGACAAGCAAATTAGAAATTGTCCATGTCTTTGTGGAATCTAGAGCCCAGCAGGAGAGAGCAAAGCCTCTATCATACCAAACTCCCAACAGTTTTAAAGTACCTACTAACAAAGCCTGGCCTTCCAGACCTAGAATGCTCCTGTTTAGTAGGACACCTTGCCCATGCCTCCCCTGCCTGAGACCTCTTTCCCGCCCTGCTGGCATCTCCTTTACTTTCTGTAGCACAAGACCTTCACTTAGAGTACGACTCTTATATAATGGCAGAGTGGCTTCCTCTAGAAACCCAGGCCTCCCCAGACCCGCCTGTGGAATCCAGAGCTGTTGGTATCTGAACCATCAGCGTGCCCTTTCTCCCTGTATTTGTCCTTTGTATCCAGGATGCCTAAGTTCTATTTAAAGAATAAAAAACAAGCATATGCAAATGTAACTGATAACAATGACTAAGACTTACATATCTTGAACTAGACTTGAAAAAAGGAATTATAAAGTAAGGGTTTTTTTGAGGTATTGCAACTGTTTAACTTTCTGGGCTTTCCCTGTGTCTACATAGGATCTGCCCTAGAAGATGGGCTGTTATTTGTGGTGTGCGCTATGGAGTCTGAACCAGTGTCTTTGTGGTTTCCATGGTAAAGCTATCGTGTGTGTGTGTGTGTGTGTGTGTGTCTGTGTGTCTGTGCAGACATTTTAGCATGTATGAATTGAGTCTTTAAGGAGTTGCAGACCACAAGCCTATGATTTCAGTATAGGAATATATATCATAAGTGTAGCCTGTTTATCTTAGCAGATCGGTTCAGAGTTGCAAGAGACATTTGCTTTATGTTAACACCAGTCTAAAGAAAACATCTGAAGTAATGTTGAAAAAATCTGCTTTCTACTGTGGTAAGATGGATCCATTTTAAATGTAATAAAAGAGAAAGCCAGCAGCTCATGCTAGGAAGAAGAAACCGTTTCAAAGCTCCCTTCGTAAATTGAGCTGAGGAATTTCCCTGGGCTCTGTCAGAGTGCTGGGTCAAAATAGATCAACACAACCAGGGCACTCACCATCCTACAGGACAGACCCGGGGCTCACGGAGCAGGTTGGAGAGAAAGGACAGAAAGAGAGAAAGGTCAACTGCAGCATTCCTTACACTCCCTGTTTCTTTGTCCTGTGAAGATACTGTATGTACACAGTGCGTAAAAGGCTATAATTCACTTTGAGAGCTCTGCCCATGACATAAACACTCATGGCTTATGAACAGCAGTGGAGCCCTTTGAGTGGAGTCAGCTGTTTATTCTCTCCTATAGAGCAAAATTCTAAACATGTGAACTCAGAAAGGACACTTGCTGGCACTGACCAGGGCTGTTCCTACCACGGGTGCTTCTGGCTCATGGCTGTCCGGAAAATTCCGCCCTCACAAGTGAAATACCCTCTGCAGGCTTTGGGGTCATGCATGTCCCAGTTCCTATCATGAGGTCTAATCCTTTAAGCTCTGTGGCCTTGGGCAGGGCTCTTAACCTCTCTGAACTTCATCCTGTAAAACAGGTCTCTACTCCTCCCTATTGGATGGGCTTGATATGAAGGGTCATTGAGGGGACCTAGGAGGGACCCCTGGGTTTAGCTTCTGCTTTGTCCCACGGTGCCTTTGCTCACCCCTTTCCTCCCGTTTTCTGCCCCTTCAAACCCGCTCGCCCTGCAGCGTTCTTCCTTATGGCCTTCCCCATCCACGCAACTTGCAGGAAGCTCTTTGCCCTCTTCCTAGTCTTGGCTGACTATCAGTCATACTGCTTTGAAACTTCTTTTATATTATACTTCGATTTTTCACATCTTTGTATATCTCTCATTTCCTTATTATGAATTCTCGGAAGGCAAGGGCTTTGAAAATATATATATTTTCCCTTAAGGTATTTATTACAATGTAATTTACATACAATGAAGTAGACAGATTTAAGTAGATCTTTTGATGGGGTTTTGACAGTTACCTTCTACCTCTTTCCAATTAGTCACCTCACTCCCAAGACAACCACAGTTTGATTTCTATCACCTTGTCTTAGTTTCTCCCCTTCTAGACACTTCTCATAAATTCAGTAATACAGATTGTACTCTTCTCTGTTTTTAGTGTTTACATAATTATCTCAGATTTATCTGTTATGCCATTCCCTTTTTATTGCTGACTAGTATTCTACGCATATACCATAATTTTATTAATCCATTCGTCTGCATATGCATATTTGGGTTGTTTCCAGTTTGGAGGATTTTATGAATAGAGCTGCTATGAACATTCTTACCTAAGCCATTTTGTAGACTTATGTTTTCAATTCTGTGGGTAAACAAATACTTGGGAGTAAGAGTATATGTATGATAATAAGAAACTGACAAGCTTTTTCCAAAGTCATCATACTGTTTTACAGCCCCACTGGCAATATACAGGGTTCCAGCTGTTTCATATCTTCTCCAACACTTGCTATTGTCAGTCTTTTGAATTTTAGCTATTGTAGAGGAGACAAAATGATGTCTTATTGTGTTTTTAAGTTTGATTTCCTAATGATTAATGATATTGAGCATCTTTTCATGTGTTTTTGATATATTTTCATTTGTGAAGTATCTGTTCAAATTTTGCCTATTTTTAATTGGGTTGTTGGTTTCTTGATTATTAAGTTTTAAGAGTGATTTATATATTGTCAGGTATATGTATTACAAATATTTTTCCCAGTTTGTGGCTTGCTTTTTCATTTTATTAATAGTGTCTTTTGATGAGCAGATAATTTTTATTTTTAATGAAATATGTTTCATCAATGTTTTCTTTTTATGTTCATGCATTTTATATCCTCATAATTATTTTGCCTACCAGAAGGTCACAAAGAGATTCTTCTATTTTTTCTAAAAGCTTTGGTTTGACATTTATGTCTGTGATCCATCTCAAATTAATTTTTGTGTATGACATGAGATTGAGGCTGAAGTTAGTGTTTGGTTTATATATATCCAGGTATCCCAGCAACATTGTTGAAAAAAAAACTATTCTTTCCACATCAAATTACCTTCATGCCTTTGTCAAAATAAATTGACCACACATGAGTGGGTCCATTTCAGGACACTCTATTCTATTCCATCAATGTATTTTTCTATTTCTTTACCAATATTTCTTAAAATCAGGAAATGTAAATTCTCTAACTTTGTTCTTTTGAAAGATTGTTTTGGCTAGTCTAGGTCCTTTGCATTTCCATGTTAATTTTAGAATCAGTTTGCCAATTTCAACCCTTACTACGCCTCAAAAAAAAAAAAAGCCTGCTGTGATTTTGATTGGGATGATTTTATTAGATTTTATTTACCAGTTGTCGCTAGTAGATAGCAATATAAATGATTTTTCTGTATTAACCTGGTGTCCTATGACATTGCTAAATTCACTATTACTACTGAGTTCTAGTAGCATTTTTTTTTTTTACCCCTGGGGGTAAGAAAGGTTTTTAAAAGATAAGAGTCAGCATTTCTGTCTTCACATGCACCCCAGTAAACAGTCCCCCAACCTCAGTGACTTGGCCAGAGATTAATAGTTGTAGGCCGCCCCGTCCATGGCTGCTAGCCCCTGTGGTTGCGCCTACCTGGCGCCAGCACAACCTGTTTGAAAGTAGAAAAATCCACCCTTTGGTTGTTTAATCTACATAAACCCAACTGTCACTTAAAAAAAAAACTGAATCTCGTAGTTACCTACTTGGTATCTTGTATCATAGCTTCTACATATCTAGAAGAAGGCATCAAATGATTTTTTTGTAATCCTTTCTAGTCTGATAAATCTGTGAATACGTGGAGTGAGTTTTCTATGAATTTCGTCGTATAAAGCATCATCAGGTTGATCCTAGAGGCCTAAGTAGGTTCTTAGAATAGAATTGAACTCCCAAATCACCTACTGCAATAGCTTGTCACATAT